CAGTGGATAGAGCGTCGGCCTGTGGACTCAAGGGTCCCGGGTTCGATTCCGGTCAAGGGGATGTACCTGGGTTGCGGGCGCATCCCCAGCGGGAGATGTGCAGGAGGCAACTGATCGATGTTTCTCTCTCATCAATGTTTCTAACTCTCTATCCCACTCCCTTCCTCTCTGTAAAAAATCAATAAAATATATTTTTTAAAAAAACACAAAACACCTAGGGTAATGGGCTCCCTAGAGTATAAGGCAAATGCCCTCCAGGAACTTAGCTCTGCACAGGCTCGGCACAGGCAGCATGTAAAACAGTCCATTTAAAGGACACGGTAGTCAGAGGGACCCACAATCTCAATGTGTAAGTGCTATACAGAATCACTGGAAATAAAAAAGATGGAGAAAACTATACATAATAGAAATATGTGGCCCTGCCAGTGTTGTCTCTCTCTCTCTCTCTCTCTCTCCCTCTCTCTCTCTCTCTCTCTCTCTACACACACACACACACACACACACACACACACACACACACACACACTCACTGGCAGAGAAAGGCAACAGCATCCCTGACTCTCCACTGCCCATCTCCAGCTTCACACTGGACTGTGTGCCTCGGTATCTGCCTTCTCCATAAGGTACATTGCTTGGTGTCTTCCTGAACTCTCAAGTGTTAGACTATAGGGCCCTTGAGGACAGGTGGCTTTTATTTCCTTGGTCAAACCATCTCTTCATTCCCTCCTTCTGGGCCCCCAAGCTCGGTGCTTAAACACATGCTTATTAAACACCTAGGGTAGCCGAAACCGGTTTGGCTCAGTGGATGGAGTGTCGGCCTGCGGACTGAGAGGTCCCGGGTTCGATTCCGGTCAGGGGCATGTGCCTGGGTTGCGCGCACTTCCCCAGTGGGAGATGTGCAGGAGGCGGCTGATCCATGTTTCTCTGTCATCGATGTTTCTAACTCTCTATCTCTATCTCTCTCCTTTCCTCTCTGTAAAAAATCAATAAAATATATTTAAAAAACAAACACCTAGGGTAACGGGCTCCCTAGAGTATAAGGCAAATGCCCTCCAGGAACTTAGCTCTGCACAGGCTCGGCACAGGCAGCATGTAAAACAGTCCATTTAAAGGACACGGTAGTCAGAGGGACCCACAATCTCAATGTGTAAGTGCTATACAGAATCACTGGAAATAAAAAAGATGGAGAAAACTATACATAATAGAAATATGTGGCCCTGGCCAGTGTTGTTCAGTTGGTTGGGCATTGTCCCATGTAGCAAAAGGTTGCCGGTTCAATTCCTGGTCAGGGCACATGACTGGGTTGTAGGCTCAGTCCCCTGGGTGGTGGGAGGGCTGCAGGCACCAGCCAATTGATGTTCCACTCTCACATCAATGTTTCTCTCCCTCTCTAAATATCAATTTTAAAAAGAAATATATGTGGTTAGGAAAAAAACTTGCCTGCTGGGCACCCTCATTCAGTTAATTCCTTTTATTCTGATTAGCTCCCTGGGATAGGGGCTGAGCCCTCTGAAGGGCATGCTGCACTGCTGAGCAAGGCGTTTGTTAAGGGTGGAGTGGGCATTAGGTTTGGGACTGGAGATGAACCGCTGGGGTCCATAGAGATGCAGCCTCACTGCAGGCTGCCATGAGTGGCCCTGCTCCCCCCAAGTCCTGCAGTATTGTCTAAATAAATGTTTTAGTAATCCCTAACTCCTCCCTGACAGGCCAGAGAGAGCTTACACTCCTGGCTTGGAAAAAAAGCACCATTCACCTGCCCTCCTGGGATATGTCTCAGTCCATTTCTGATGTCAGAGGCAGATTACAATGCAAACACCATGTGAAGTTGTTATTTTCTGATTATAAGGGCTGCAGATGCCCAGGTAAGAGATATTAATATGATCAGGGAAGGCTTCAAGGAGATGGGATTTGGGTGTGTGTGCTCTGTATTTATGAAAGGAATAAAAGAGTAATTAACTGAATGAGGGGCACCCAGCAGACTGAAGACTATGCTCCTTGGGCACACACCTCTCCCTCATGCACGTATATTCTGTGAAGGGTGGACGGACAATCTCCAGAAATCAAGCAGTGGATGTTACTGCTCAGCTGAGAATAGAGAAAAGTTAGCAGCTATTAGTCTCATCAGGATAAGACTGACCTGGGTCTTAACTCTAAGACCAAGCTAATGACAACATTGGCCTTAAAATTTAACCTTGAACCTCTCACCTTGACTGATTTCTATTACAAGCGGCATTGTGGCCCTCACTAACATTTCAGAATCTTAGACTTTGATAACTCTAGACATCTGGTCCAACGCCTCACAGCTGGAATGACCCCTACTCTACCCCTGATGGGCAGAGGCAGCTCACGTGAATATTTCAACGAGCTTTATCTTCTAGCTCAAAGTTTCCTAGTTTCTCTTTTCTCTCTCTCAGAGGAGACATGTATAAGTTCACCCTTATCTTCATGTGTGACCAGCATGACCTCACATGCTCTTATGTACTTCCCCACTTCCAAAGTCATGGGCTCTTAATAGAACAGATGTTAGGATTCGGCACAGGTGAAGTAAGGCTCTGGATGGAAGGAACTGGGCTGAATCTTACTTGTCCTTCCCAAAATTTTTGGATGAATTTTAGGCTCTCTATAGATTGTTCTAGGAAATATGGCAACTTTGTCACAAGCTTAGCATGCAGCCTGTTTGAGTCAACAACAGGGCCTGATAGTCTTTCACCTCCTCTTCTAACTCTCTTGGGTATGTGAAGTCACGGGGTCACAGCGCCATATGCCCCTTCACCTTGACCCATGCAGATGCATCAAGGGAGAAGGCAAAGCCTGAGGGTCGAGTGCTGGTCGTTTCTCTCCATCTGGGAGGCATATCTGAGAGCTGGAGGGATCGCTGAGGAGAAAGACCAGAGGCTGAAACAGCAAAAACACTGGGGCTCTTATCTGAACCCTCCCCCTCTCCCCACTAGAGCCTTTTATGAGCATGTAAAGCCAGGTGGTGATGGACAGGCTATGGGATGGGGCTGCTGGAAGTGCTCTTCCAGGTTATCTGTTCCCACTCAACATCACTAAAACTTGGGGCCAATATTGCTAGGAACAGTGGACAGATGCTAGTGTGATTACAGGGGCTAAAGAAAAGAGAAGTTGATATTACAGAGAAGTGTGAGGCGCTTCATATATAGAAGAGTTAATTTACACAAAGTCTCCAGGTTGGATGAGGAAAAAGTACTTATATTCAACCCTAAACAGGACTCCCAGAAGCAACAATGGATCCCAGATGACAAATGAGATGGAACTAACCTCTGTGCTTCAGACCATGTTATTTCAAATGGGCTGGAATGGGCTGGCTTTCTCTGTACAGGGCCCCGGAGTGACTGCTGGGCTATGGTTTCTGCTGAAGGCTTGATGTCTGGCACCTAGAGCTTATCATCCCTCAAATATTCCTTTTTTAGGGGAGGTAAGTGACCATAAGCACTGAGCCCAGGGGAAAGAGAAAAATAGGAGAAAAGAAAAGCAATAGGCTTATTTACTTTAAACAAGGTTAAACAAAATATTGGAAACATGCCCTTGGCCATGGAATACAGAAATGTATTTTTCCCTCCCCTGGTCATCAAAGCCCACCCTCAAATGAAGGCAAAAATAAGTTGCCAGACGTGGGTCCTGCTCTTGTTGGCGAGCCCTCTGGAGAGAACAGCCCACTCTAACAGTCTATATTTAGGTCCCAATGAGCCATCTAGGCTACAACTTAGGTCTCAGCTCAGCTCACTCCATGAAGGGTGGTCTCAGGATCACTAACTCCTCCCTGTATAAAACTGCATTGGTCAGAAAAGGGGGCCAAGTTCAGACAGACTCAACAATATCTTATGTATTTTTCATAGTGCTTTTGTTGCAGGTTTCATTTTCTGCTATACATGGCAATAAATATTTGTTGCTTTGGTCTGTACAAAACGTCTGCGAGGAAGGTAAAACAGATGTAATCTAAACAAACAATAAATACAGAAAACTATTTTGTTCCAAGTCCCCCGGAAATAGTGAGAGAGCCTGAAAAACGCAGGTCTTTTGAATCATCGTCCCAATCTATACCATACTGCCATGTTTCAAGTTGTCACTTAAACACATAAGTACCAGAGTCAATGTTCAGGAGTCCTGCAAAGAGGCTGCATGTCATTGCTTTCTAAAAGAGAATGTGTAAGGTCCCAGCAACTCATATCTAGGAAGCTATTTATTTCCTATAGAAAACACCAAAAAAAAAAAAAGAAAGGAAGAAAAGAAAAACAAACAAAAGGTAGTTTTCCCCCCAAAAGGCAGGCAGTTATGAAAAGGGTAGAACATCTAGTTGCTGGAGTGGAAACAGTAACATTCAGTTAACAATGGAATATTTAAAAAAAATAGTTTTCTTTTCAAATTGTAACCTGCGGTAAAACATAGAAAAATGTACTAAACAAGCTTGGTATAAAACAGAGTAAAATTTTCAAATAAGCCTAGGGAGAAAGCACAATGCTGGAAGGGATGAGGTACCAGGGAAGAGGAGAAAATCTTTCATACAAAACTACCTATTACAATACAGAAAAAAGTATAAAACGTTCCTATTTTGGAACTTAGGTACAAAAATGACACTGGCATTGGATCGTTTCACTAGCTAGCCTGAGAAATTCTCAGAGGGGATGGGTGGTGCTAAAAAGAACAAAAGGAATAGCAGTTTTTCAATCTCAAGTTGATCAGTCCAAATTCCACCCATTTTCCAGTTGAAAATATCACCTCCCTCTGTAACCTCTATCCCTAAGCCAAAGTTTATCCAGGTCTTAAAATATTCTGTTAGGAAGTCCACAAACACCCTACACATAGGGGCTGGGATCTGTGCGTGCTGGAGCTAAATTTGGAGAATGGAAATAAATCTACAGGCTAAAATGATGAACACATTCAGCCTTTAAAAAAAAAAAGCATATCCCTGTGAAATATATATATATTTATATATATTAAATTCTCTGTGGTTAGAAACATATTTAAATGAACTAGCCACAGACCAAACTAGACTTGCATTCATCCAATGCTGGAATTTTATGCTAAAGACTGAGGTCCTTCTTCTTGGTCAGAAGTAGGCGGCAGTAAAAGTGGTGCCTTGTTGCTCCACTAACCATTCCCTGGGTGGGTCTTCCCCGTATCATGTGTTGTGAACACATGCAAACCCCTGCTTTTAAGAAAAGGACTGCCTGGGACTTTGGGGTCCACCCAGGGCTCATATATTGTGCCTCAGGAGGGAGGAAGCTACAGATAGAACAGCCTGGTATAGAAGCAGACAGATTTTACAACGGGGCATATAAATAGGAAACATCCTAGAGGAGGGACTTAGGCATGTGCCCCAAAGTCCAGTTTACAGTCACTTTCCTGACAAAACATCTTGAAAACCAAGCGTGTATGTGTGTGTGCGTGCATATGCTGGTGGTTTTATCCCTATGTTTTTGCCCATGCCCTTTCCTTCCTCTTAGTAAGGCCTAACAACAAGAGTTTTATATGAAACCAAGAGTCTTTCCAAGCTTCTCTCAGCCCCTAATGAGGGACCAAGTGAGGCTGGAGCCCTTTGGAAACAAGATGGCAGAACTGAAGACGTGAAAAGCAGTCTCTCTCTTCAGCTTAGGGATGTCCCTCACCCCTTTCACAGCACCAAAGTTTCTTTGCAAAAATAGTATCTGAGATACAAAAGGAAAGGCAGATGTGCTTGTGAATGCATCTCGCCAGGGCCTGGTCCAGGATCAAAGGCTTTACAAGAACAGGGGTTGGGAGTGGCTGTTTCCAAGGTCTCTGGCTGTAGACAACGAAGAGCTGGTCCCACAACGTCAATGCCTGCTAACTGAGACAGTCTTCACAAGAGCTTTCGGTGGAGAATCTCCCAGACCATCCGCTTCCGGAAGTATGGCATGTGTTGCTGTAGGGACACAGAGACACCCTTCATTTTCATTTCTTTCATCCAGACCCAACACTCCTTTCCCCATATTCCTTTCCTCCTGGAGGTTTTCAACTACAGTCTCAGTTGCACTTTTGGCCTTTCAAATTTCTCATTCTTGATTACATGTGATTCTTTTTCCTTTCCATTGCTTTTTCCTATTGCTATTTTCTTTTCTTTTTTAATATATATATTTTTTATTGATTTCAGAGAAGAAGGGAGAAATAGAAACATCAATGATGAGAGAGAATCACTGATCAGCTGCCTCCTGCACGTCCCCTACTGGGGATTGGACCCAAAATCTGGGCATGTGCCCTGACATGGAAGTGAACCGTGACCTCCTGGTTCAGATGTCAATACTGAACCACTGAGTCACAACGACCAGGCATCCACTGCTATTTTCCATTGCGGTGTCCTCAGTTTTATTGGGCATTTCCAGGTATCCCCCGGCTATACCTAAATGTCTCTTAAGAATTCTGAGAATGTCTATCAAGTCCTCTACATTGAAATCCTGAGGATGTAAGATCTGAGGCCTGAAAATCTAAAAGTCACTTTTTAGAGAAAGAGTTATGGGAACTGTAAGAGTCAAGGACTATGATGGAAAAATCCAGTAAAGCTATTAATTCAAACAGAAGTAAAAAGTTAGTTGAGGTTAGCAAAACTTGAGTGCTAACAAAGTATAAAGAAACTGAAGAAAATGTGCTCTGGTCCCAGTTCTCCGTTTTTACAGGCTGTGAAGCATGTGGGCGAGGTGGGCAGAGAAGAAGGCTCTGCTATGGCCCAGGATTCTTTGACTTCAGTATGTGATATATGGAAACCCAGGATGTGATCTATTATTATCCTTCTTTGTCTTATGATGTGGCAGGCAGTAACCACCGGTGTTACAAGCTACAGGCCAAAGCAGAGCCCCCCTAATCAGAGCAAGTAGAGAAAAAAACACCTGGCGGGCACCTGGAGACAGGGTGGACAGACAGAGAGGTCCCTAACCCCTGAGGCCTCAGCTCACCTGTGTGAAGTTGATTGGTCTGTCTTTGGTAATGCAGTCAGCATATTTGCAGGCAAACATCCCACAATCACTTCCATTCATCTGCTGTGGAATTTCCTAAAAGACCAAAAACAATGAAAAGGTAACATCTTTCCAAGGTTCTTCCTTTCTTGTTAGACTATAAATAAGAACCAAAGCAGATAAATTTTACAGGTTTCCCTGAATTTTGAAGAAATGACCCCTTGTTCCCCACTCAGAACAACACAGGCTCAGAGAAAAAATAGAGCTTCTCAGGCCTGTGGACTTCATATTAACCACATAGGAAACCATCTCAGACTTCCATGGCACCTAAGGGTGTAAAATCTGGTCCCTCCCAGTAGGGCCAAACAATCAGCAAACACATCTTACAGGAGTGAAAAGCTTAGCAAAATAGCTGGGCATTTAGAAAACCTAGCTCTACATAAGAAACACATTACCAGTTTTCCCACAAATAGCTTTCTCTATCTTCCCCAAGGAACAAAACAACCAAGCTGAAGTCAGGACAGACACTAAGAAACTCCCTGGGAATCAAACAGTAATACCTTTTCCTTCCCAACCACTCTCATGTCAGGAACTTTTATCTCATCAAGATCAAATGTACCTGGCTTTTCTTGCTGAAGAGCTGCCAGCCATTGGTGTCAAACTCTTTCCTTTTCTTGTCAATGCTCTCCTGCTTTAGGTATTGCCTAAAGGTATTGGGAGAGAATGAGATGAGCTGTGGAGAACATGGATGACCACTGCCACCCAAAGAATGGAGCAGACAACCCTTAGGAAGAGTTTTCATATATGCTTCTGAGAAAAAACAGTATACAATGTTGGGTGGGGTACCTTTACACTGCTAAGCCTCCTTTGGGACTCCCACAATTCATGCCTATCCTGTCCACCCAAGAGAAACATGATGTTTCTCTGATACCGAGGGTTCCTTCTATCTACTGTTCCTCCTGAGGAACGAGTTTTGATTCGTTTCCTTGGTTTATATGGTCCTTTCAAATTCAATCTAATGGAAGAAGAATGTTTCTCTAGCAACATCAAACTATTTATTTACTATTAGTCTTGAGTCTCCTGTGCAAAAATTCAATCCAAGCCAACAATATGTTGAGTATATACCTAATATGGAGCATTCTTCATAAGTGCAACCTGCTCACCATTCTGGAACCTATCTACCAGAGTGGTACAGGGAGGAATAAGCATTTTGGAAAGAGAAACAGATAGGGTATAAACAGATTTGCATTCTGGTTCCCAGTTAAGCCACTATCTAGTAGGGCCTGGGCAAATAAAAATTACTCTGTGGGTTTGGTATCTTCATCTGCAATATTAGGAGGTTGGATTACATGATTTCTAAATAGTTTCTATAACTGTATGTACATACTCACTATATTTTAGTGCACTAGGACAGTAATTGTCCCCATTAGGGCATATCTACACTAATAAAAGAGAAATATGGTAACTGGCGTACGACCGCTATCCTTTTCATTGGCTAATCAGGGTGATATGCAAATTAACTGCCAATTAAGATGGCAGTTAACTGCCAACAAAGATGAAGGTTAATTTGCACATGTAGGCACAATGCAGGGAGGCGAAAGGGAAAGCAGGAAGAAGCCCCCTGCCACTGACAGTGATCGGAAGGAAACCCAGAGGGGAGCTAAGAGCCATGGCTGCCCCCCAGCCATGATCGGAGAATTGGGCGCCTTTGTCGCCCTGGCCAGTGATAGCAGGAAGTAGGGGTGGAGCAAGCGATGGGAGCTTGGTAGGGTCAAAGCTGGCAGTCCCGGGAGCTAGGGGTCTCTTGCCTGGGCCGAAAGCAGAGCCCGCGATCGCAGGGCTGCTGCAGCTGTGGGTCCACGCTGCCCGGGCTGGACGCCTCAGCCAGAGGCGTCCTGCGGGGGCAGGGGTGGAGAGGCGTTAGGCCTGGGCAGGGGCAGAGCAGGAGATCGCGGGGAGTTGGGGGTCCCCTGCCCAGGCCTGACACCTCTGGCAGAGGCATCAGGCCTGGGCAAGGGGCCGATCCTGCGATTGGAGGGTGATGGGGGTCAACGCCTGAGGGCTCCCAGTATGTGAGAGGGGGCAGGCTGGGCTGAGGGACACTCCCCCCTCACCCAGTGCACGAATTTCGTGTACCGGGCCCCTAGTATTTGATAGTAGTACATTATTAAACTTTACTTAGATGTAAAATATCCATTGTTACTTAATATGAAAATTTCCTTTATTAATTAGTTCACTGAAGGTATAAAATAACTGAGTTCAATAGCTGGAAGACAATATATACTGACACCATACTCTTCCATCCTCAACTCCATACTTACAAAAGGATCCTGCAGGCTTCGTTGTTTATCCCACCCATAGAGTCGTAATAGGTAATATTCTTCTTTCTAAAGTCCACAACCTAGGAATAAAAAAATAAATAAATCTGTGTTTATAAAGTGAAGAAAACTGGTTTCTCAGCTTTTCCCTTCCCTGGAACCTTTTGCCAGATTTCCTGTGAAATCATAACATGTATGACTGATACTGTGCATCACACCATGCTTAATCAACAGAAGACAGAAGAATACAGAACTACAGTGGGGGCTGATCAACTGCTGACCCCATTAATTGCCCTAAAACCTTTTTCTGTATTTAGGGTCCCCATCCACAATGTGGGCAACAATGAAGACAAAACATGTTCTAAAGAGAATGTAAGTTCACTGAAGTCATTTTCACAGTTTCAGAAAGATGATAATAGATTATGGGTGTCATTTCTTTACCTGGAGAATTTCCTTTGGCTTTATGTTTTTAAAATGTAATTCAAAAATAGACTGTGAAATAACTCTCATACTTTCATTAATTCGCTAAGCCATGTTCTCAGAGTCATAAAAAAATATTCAATTACCAAGTAAGCAAGGCCAAGTCATGATTAGGCAGAAAATAATAGCCACGGGATCTGAACTGGCAGCATCATTAGGAAGTCACTTTTTATACAGGTTTTGATAAATTGAGCTAAATTCTCTTGCCTTGTAGTTTATTGATGTCCTTAAAAAGAGTTCCAAAATTGTCAAGCATGATCTAAGTACAAGTGAAGGAAATAAAAAATTAAATTAAAAAAAAAATTCCTCTGCAGGAATCCCTCTATAGGAGGGAATTCTTTTTGTTTAGGAAAATACCTTAAAGACACATGTAGCTTTTAAAAGATGGGACAGAGCCTGAAAAGACAGATGCAGTGCAGAAATTACTGAATTGCTCTGCATAATAAAGAGGATGGGAGTGTAAAAATTTAAAAAGTCACTTTTTCTCCCCATGCTTTTGCCTTGAGGCTGCTTAGACTTATAATTCCTTTTTAAATATTTCCAGAAAAGGAAATTCCACAGCTTTCTTCAAAGTCTAAGTATCTCTCACTCTTAACAGAAAGTTCATTGATCTATCCAATTTCTAGCCAACTAAATACTACTGTTCTCTCAATCATCCAGTGAAGAAGTAGAACTAATACTCACTATTCTCTGTGTATTCTATAATTATATAAGTTCTTTTAAAATTTTACCAAAAACAAGTGGGTACTCACAGCAAGACACCAGTGCACTCCCAGGTGAATGGGCACCAAAAGAATGTCAACAGAAAATACATCCACTTTCTTTGTCCAGCGTTTCACAGCCTGGTAACCAGCTGTTTTTAACTTAGTAAAAAAAAAGGTATTAAATGCATGTACACTTGGCAATCCCTTCTCTTTACTTCGCTCCATCAGCATATTCATGTAGAAATTGATGATCTGTGGGAAGAAATTATATGTATGTATTATATCAGGCCTTTCATAATAATTGTTATATGAAGGGAAAACAGTGTTGTATTGTACAACATATGCTGTTGTTTCCTAATTAACTCAATTAAGACTTTAACATGCAACAGCCTCATGGCCCTATATTGAATTCTAACTAGAAGGGAGGCTATAAACAGTGAGATGGTTATAAACAGTGAAAACAAAAAGCTGAGTTATATATATATATATATATATAATGGAGTTGGGGATACATATGGGCAGATGCTGGCCAGAAGACAGGATTGGGTCAAATCTGTTAACAAGGCTAAGACAAACAGTTCAGTTCTTATACGTGGGTCACCTGTTTTTACACAAAGATAGAAAACTTTGGTTCAATGCTAAAGATTGTCTTTTAGCCTTTAAGCTAACTTGCAGAGACAAACTGTTTTGGTTTCAAGCAGACCTGAATAACAGGATAAATCATCAATTATACTAGACAAAACACTTATAAAATGACAGTAGTTGAGCAATGTTACCTTTTATAGAGGCACACTTGAATATAAAAACCAATATAACATAAGACCTGGAAGTACAGTTACACACCAAAGAGTAAAGTTCTCCCCAGAATCTGTATGGTTAGCTTTCTCATTTTTGTTGATTCCATTTATGCCTTCAATGTCAAGTATGAATGAAAGAAATTAAAATGCTTGAACGGGAAATATGTGATTCTTTCTATTAATCAAGCAATGTGTTCTCTAATTGTGACTATGTTGTCTATGGTTCCTTGAGGTCCAGGGCTCCTAGGTACTAAAGCTTGTAAGTTACTGGGCCAGAAGTTACTGCATACTTACTTTATGTGGTCAGATGAGGCCAGGCCAGTGTCTGTCAACTACAAGGAATGAATGGGCTAACTGATCCACAGCTTGGAAATATGACTAAGAAAACAGGCATGTTTTTCAGAATGCTTTTTGGGGAATGGGAAAATGCCCCGGTCCTTTGACAAAATATTTACACATTAGGATGCCAGAGCAATGAGCTACTGCCCAACAGTAGGCACCTACATACCGGGCAGGCAGCAGGGACCACTGCCAGGAACACACCAGAGCATGGTCTAGACTAGAGAAAGGGCCTATAGATGAGGATGCCTAGGCAGTTGCAGGGAAATCACACTTGCCATGAGGCAGAACTGGAGGCAGGAGGGAGAGGGGATGACTAGGGTTGAAGAAAGACACCGTTCTGCCTACATCTCTGAAGACTGAGCAATGGGCCCAGCAGGCCGAGAGAGCTTAGGTTGTGGCTAATTCTCTGTCTAGTGTGATTCCCAATAGATAATTGGAACTCAGTTATTTTAAATAATGATAATGAATTGAGACACAATTAGGATTATAGCTTTCTCAATCTAGATTTCCTATATAATTCTGCCCCCAAGGACAATGGTGCTAATGATGCTTGTTGGAATGAAGGCAGCCAGGAATACAGGAGGATCTGCCCAGCAAGCACAGATTAGGCTATAATTAGGCTATAAACTACATTATCTAATGAGAGAAAACCAGCAAGAAGGGACTGATTCCTCTGGCGTTCTACCCACCCCACAATATTAGCCATGTTATGACACTAAATCCTTCAGTCTAAGGGGTGAAGTGAATAGGCAGATGACCTGCCAGTCACTGTAAGCCAAACCTTCTATGGGGCAGGCAAGTTACATATTTGAGGCAATAAGGACTCAAGGGAAAGGTGGAAGGAATCAGGCAGAGATAAGGACAGCCAAGCAAATGAAAGCCATGGAGATATTTCTTCCCCAGGTGCCCATAATTGTGACCTTTGGGATAATTACCCTGAAGTAAAAAAGTATGACATAAATGAATGTCAAGCTACATTTGACTATCCTATTTTTTAGGAGGAAAGAATGCTACAGACGAATGAAGTTTAGCTGGACTTACACTGCCTGAGTTGTTTGGGGTTCTTTTGTGTGTGTGTGTTTCTTTTGAAAGAGTGGACTATAGACCAACCCCTCCAAACAGAAACAATCAGGATACCTAGCAATCAGGATACCTAACACTGTTTCCTTTAAGAACCCCTCTTCCACTGCTTTAGCTCTGCCTCCAACCGACATTTCTCCACTGAGAGGGAAATGGCCTCCTCCAAAGTCAGCTTATTAATAATTAGCCCTAAGAAGTGATGTGGGTTCTTTTTCATTTCTCCTGTATCCCAGTAGGAGGGAGTGTGGGGGCCTCAATGTTCCCTCCCATTAGCTGAAAATGTATAATCTGACATCTGAGGCAGAATTTAGATTCAAGTTTCTCTCCTTGGTTTTTCAGCTATTACTCTGCCCAAATGAGGAAAATTGCCATAGTTCAGCCAAGACACAATCACACCAAAAAAAAAACAAGCTAGGAATTAGAGAACAAAAAGAATCCTACATGTCATCTCACAGAGGAGGGCTGAAGATGAAGGAGAAAGAAATGAGAGAAGGGATCACAGTACTTAAGATGAAAAAGGAGCAGTGATGGTCAAAGTATTTGCTTATATTTTGTGAAGACAAGCGTTCCTCCCCTCCCATGGAGAGAGCCTTTCTACACACAAGACTCTCTCAGCTCCAGAAGATCTTCAATTGCCTTTGAAATAAGGGGCTAAAAGTAGCAAATCAGCCCTGCGCCTACTGTTTGTCTTGCCAATATATCAACATCTGAGGACGACAGCCAGTGTTAGTCCACTTGTCACTCTTTTGGGGACCCACACTTGCCTCTGCTCGCTATGGCTCCTGGTGCCTAAGGAGCTGCCCTTCCTGCTGCCTTCACAGCCTTGGCCATGAGCGCCTGCTTGTCTATGCAGTCCTGTTTGGGGGTGGGATGGTTGTTTATAGTGTCTTGTTCCTTTGTGATTTTATTTGAAGAGCAGCCAGGATAAAGCCGAAAAAAAGCTTCTCTTTAAAAGAAAAGCCTACAATGTTTTCAAACTAAGGACTCGATCCTTTTCCTGTATGTTACCACAATGACATAAATGGCCACTGCTATTTGTATCTTCCTTTTTGCCAAGAAACCAGCCAAGCTATTGTTTTCTCATGCATTTAGAAGTAAAACATCTCACTAACAGTAAAACCTTGACTTTTAACCCTTCCCAATGTTACATTCTGAAACCCTCAAATTGGATTAGGAAAAAAATGTTCTAAAAGTTCTGGGCATGACAGTGTTCCTGAGCAGAGATCAAGATAACTTTTAGGGGAAACAAAGCTGTTTGTCCTACTTTACCTCTCCTAGATTTTTTCACCTTGGTCTTCCAATCCTGATTTTTATTTATTTATTTTTTTTATTAATCCTCACCCAAGGTTATTTTTTCCATTGGTTTTTAAAGAGTTGGGAGAGAGGGCCCTAGCTGGTTTGGCTCAGTGGAGAGTGTCGGCCTGTGGACCAAAGGGTCCCAGGTTCGATTCTGGCCAAAGGCACAAGCCTGGGTTGTGGGCTCGATCCCCAGTAGGGGGTGTGCAGGAGGCAGCTAATCAATGATTCTCTCTCATTGATGTTTCTCTCTCTCCCTCGCTGAAATCAATAAAAGAAATATATATAAGAGAGAGAGAGATAGAATTGGGAGAGAGGGGAGAGAGAGAGAAACATTGATGCAAGACAGATACATCAATTGGTCGCCTTCCGCACACACCCCGACTTGGGGCCGGGGATTGACCTGCAATTCAGTTACTTGCCCTTGACCAGGATTCGAACCTGCAACCCCTCAGTGTGCGGGCCAATGCTCTAATGCAGTGATGGCGAACCTTTTGAGCTCAGCATGTCAGCATTTTGAAAAACCCTAACTCAACCCTGGTGCCATGTTACATATAGAAATTTTTTGATATTTGCAACCGTAGTAAAACAAAGACTTATATTTTTGATATTTTATATATTTAAATGCCATTTAACAAAGAAAAATCAACCAAAAAAATGAGTTTACATGTCACCTCTGACACGCGTGTCATAGATTTGCCATCACTGCTCTAATGACTGAGCAACAGGGGCCTGGGACTATTCTGATCTTTAAATTAAACCTATCCTAGCCAACCACAAAGCCCAAAAGACTAACCAAGCAGCAACACCTGAATATCATGAGTCAGAAGGTCATTCACACCTAAGATTTAACCTACTAATATTATTAAAACCAAAAAGGCAGACTTCACGTAAAGTTCTATGTATTGCATCCCTCATTGTGAACATGTGCCCCATTTTTTTCTCACATGGAAATTTAAGCAACAAATTATTATAATTACTTGCTAAAGTTTTAGAGAAAGGTAGGCAATATCAATTTTTATGGACTCATGATAACTGTAATTACAATTCTCCGTATTACCCACATAAGTCCTTGGTTAATTAAAAGGACTAGTTCTATTAAGAAATACTTTAAAGAAGTAAACTATAATGATATTAAATCTTGCAAAAGAAGACTGAGAGTTCACAACTGAAATGAGTATCTATAATAATAAAAGCATAATATGCAAATTGACCGAACAACCAAACAGCAGAATGATCATCCAGACGACCAGCCAATGCGATGACATGCACTGGCGCCAGGCCAGCCAAGGCGGGTGTGATGCGATTGGTGGGGGGCCCCACCATTGCCCCATGATCGCCGTACAGAGGGAGGCCCAGGCCACTGGGGCAATCGATAAGTCGGGGGGGCTCCACAATCGCCCCAAAGAGGGAGGCCCAGGCTACCCCGCAGCGGGTGGGCAGGGCCTCCTTCTTTGGGCCCCAGTCTACTTGGCCATTGGCGCTGTGGCAGATAGCTTGGGCCTCCCTCTGCTGGGGCAATCCATCACAGAGCCCAGCTGGGTAGGCAGGGCCTACCTCTTTGGTGTGATCAATTGTGGGGCTCCCGGACTGTGAGAGAGCACAGGCCAGGCTGAGGGGTCCCCCTCTCCCCCAGTGCATGAATTTTGTGCTCCGGGCCTCTAGTTTTTAAATGAATACAAATACTTAAGAAAACCTACTAATTCCCTATCAGAATGTTAGTTTCTAACAGGCAATAACTTTGAAAGCCTGAGAAGTAAGGTACTTTAAAAATGGTGCTTTTTAAAATGGTTCTCATCATCATTGTGGACATGTGACTGGCATCTGCTTTCAAGGTTACCATTTTCTGAACTCAGAAGACAAGTACTCCCTACAAGTTATAGGTAAGCTTGACAGAGATAAAGTAGACAAAGAATATTTCCTTTCCCTCATCTCTTCTAAATAATGTAATTTCCATTAACTTTGCTTGCTAAAAATCCAGCCTCTGAGGGACCAGGGAATGGAAAATATGTCCTAGTGAATGCTGCCTCTGTAAGGGACCTCACTGAGGTAACTGCCATAGTAAAATAGCAAGAACTTAGCTCATAGCCTACTCATTGCTGCCCCCTAGAAGGTTTTGCATAATCTACAACAAACAGGTCACATTCCTGTAGAATTGACCCCTTCCCACTTAGCAGTGGCAGGCAAAAAATGGTAAGAGACCAGAGGTTAATGACTCCAAATCAAAAACACTTAATTGGTGGATACTTTTGACTGTCCCTGATTTTCATTTTTGCCTTTTGATCTGGTAAGCCTTTTTTTTTCCTTCTCTATTTGTTCCAATGTTTTAATATCACTATTTTGAGCCAAAAGAAGCAAAGGTGGCCTGGCCCATGTGGCTCAGTGGTTGAGCATCAAACCATGAACCAAAAGTTTGTCACTGATTCCATTCCTGATCAGGCTACATGCCCAGGTTGTGGGCTCAATCCCCATTAAGGGGCATGCAGAAAACATAATCAATGATTCTCTCTCATCACTGATCTTTCTATCTCTCTCTCTCCCTCTCCCTTCCTCTCTGAAATCAATAAAATATATATATATATTTTAAAAGAAGCAAAGGTGGTTTTCCCTAAAGCCCCTAAAGCAGTGGTTCTCAACCTTCGTAATGCCACAACCCTTTAATACAGTTCCACATGTTGTGGTGACCCCCAACCATAAAATTATTTTCGTTGCTACTTCATAACTATAATTTTACTACTGTTATGAATCGTAATGTAAATATCTGATATGCAGGATGTATTTTCAGGGGTCGCGACCCACAGGTTGAGAACCACTGCAAAGCAGTATCAAACCATACATTCCTTACTATTCTTGGTCAAAGATATTATTCAGAAATTGATGAAAATTTGTATCTTATAAATTCACAGTGGCAAAGAGAAAAGGGCCAATCCAGCTGGTTCCAGAAAAAAATTAACATGCTGGGCATGACATATGGTTCTCAAACTCCATACATCTAATCTTAAAACAGGATCCAATTTAAGATTCTGAGGCAATATGATATAACTAGAGGCCTGGTGCACAAAAATTTGCGCACTGGCCGGGGGGTTGCGGGGGAGGTGTCCCTCAGCCTTACCTGTGCCCTCTCACAGTGGGCGTGCACACGGACTGCAGGCCCAGCGGGTGGCGGGGCGGGGCGTGGAGGATCTCCATCTGCCGCGCCCCGCCCTGCTGGCTGCCAGGCTGCGCACAGGGACAGCAGGCCTGGCAGGCGGCGGGGCGGGCAGATCACACTGTGCCACTCCACCTGCAGTATGCAAATTTAACGGCCATCTTTGTTGGGTTAATTTGCATAGTCTTCTGATTGGCTGATGGGCATAGCGAAGGTACAGTCAATTAACATCTTTGTCTTTTATTAGTGTAGATATATGCTTAGGTCTGAATCCTGGCTCTGATATTTACTAGCCATATAACGCCACAAGTTTTTTAATCTTTCTATACTTTGTTCCTTCATCTATCAAATAGAGATGATAAAATAATAAACTCCAAGGGTTGTGGGAGCCATTACATGAGCAGAAAGCATAAAACACTTAGAACAGTGCCTACATGAGGCAAATGCTCAATAGATATTATTATTTGGAAAGTCCTTAGTATACAAGACAAGGATACACGTATGTAGACTATCCAGTGCTTTCTATTCCGAGTATCTAAAAATCCTCCATAGTTGTGAAGCTTAAATATAACCCAAAATATCAGTCAGGGATGCTGCTAGTGAGCCTAAGAACGGGGGCAGGTACTTAGGAAAAAAGCAAACTATTTTCTTCTTTGGCTATGAAATATCCTTCAGAAATAAAACAAGCACCTCCAGGTATAGGAATAGGACAGATCAGTTTAAAGACTATAATGTAATATATTTACTTAAAATAATCTGAACTCTCAAAAGCTGAGAGCCATAACTTTTTTTTAACCAATATATCAAATATTTAATAATATAACTTTTTAAAAATGTCAGTTTTAAAAATAGGCCATTTTGGAAAGCTTATATATAATAACCTCAGTGACAAAGAACCAGTAGAGATAGAAGGGGAAGTAGCAATGGATTCCTAGATGGAAACCATTCCTTCATGCTACAATATAGTCAGCTATTAAGTATTTTCTCTGAAGGTGCGAGGTGCCTTAAAGACAGAAACAATACGAATGAGTAAATGTCCTCTCCCTCAGTGTACAAACTGTCAATATATAAAAAGGTAAATGAGCACTTCTCAGACTTTAAAGTACATAAAAATCATCTGAGATTTTTTTTTAAATGCATATCTCTACCACACTGCTTCATACTTATTCAGGAGAATTGAGAATTGTGACAGTTGATTCTGATCCAGGTCATCCAAGGACCAAACTTTGAGACTCAAACAGTATGATAATGCCTTGATTTAATTTCCACTTACTATCCTATATAATAAAAGTGTAATATGCAAATCAACCAAACAGGGGAATGACCGGTTGCTATGATGTGCGCTGACCACGAGGGGGCAGACGCTCAACACAGGAGCTGCCCCCTGGTGGTCAGTGCACTCCTACATGGGGAGCGCCGCTGAGCCAGAAGCTGGGCTCACAGCTGGCAAGCACGGTGGCAGTGGCGGGAGCCTCTCCCATCTTCGCTGCAGGCAGGCAGTAAGGAGCAAGGGGTCCAGGACTGCAAGAGCCCTGGACTGCGAGAGGGATGTCTGACTGCCGTTTACGGGGGATCGGGCCTAAGCTGGCTGGGGACATCTCCCAAGGGGTCCCGGACTGTGAGAGGGACTGCAAATCCCATACACTGGCCTCTAGTTTGAACATAAAATCAGGTGCAAGATTACCTCATCATTGAGCCAATTCAGATGGTTTAGCGTTTGAATATCTTTTCGTGTAATGGTCAATCGGAATGCTTCACTCAGAACTTCATCCTGGTTCCCATTACGAAATACATTCTTTATCTCTTTCTCCATTTCCTAGAGAAGCAGGAGGTGTCAGAGATTAAGCATACATGACTTCAGATACACCAGATTTCTCATAAGTCCACACTATCCCCAGACAATTCATCATTAATCAACTGTTTACTTCTAACATTTTGGTTTCTATTCCTTCCAGTAGTAATCTCCCTGATTACTTCCTTCTATTCCACCTTGTCCTCCCCCTCTCTTTTTCAGCACAACAGTTCAGACCCTTGTTTCATTTTATTCCTGCTATGAAATACAGTATTTCATAAGTCTATGAAAAGTATTCTAAGTCTATGAGAAGATCTAATTATATTTTCGATCCAAACAATTTTCTGAGAAATAGAATATTTCCCCAAAGGTAGGAAGAGCTAAGTAAAGGTAGTCTCTTTTATTTTATGTCATTTCTTTAAAGGTAGTTCCTTGTAGAAACATTTTCCTGGATTTTTTGTTTGTTCTTTTTTAATGTAAAACATGGAATCCAATACAACTATAAAACATGTATTATACTCACCAGCTATGTGAGTTTCTCAAACAGAAGGCTAGATTAAGGAACAGATTACTTTCAAATGTACACAGACTTTATGTATTTTCTAAATTTTATACTGAGTTTTTATTACTTATAAAAAAAGTAAGCCTCAGTTTACTGTACATGAAATGAAACACAAATTTATTAAATGCTTTTTCACTGAAGTTGCTAAAAGCCACCCATAATTCTTTCTTCAATGTGCAATAATCATTTAAAAATAAAGCCAATACTGGGCTGTAATACAAATGAAAGCACGAGTATGCAATACAATTTTTTCATTTTTTAAAATCTTATTTTTCAATTACAGCTTACATTCAATATTATTTTGTATTAATTTCAGGTGTACAGCACAGTGGTTAGACATTTATATAATTTATGAAGTAATCCTCCCACCATAAGTCTAGTACCCACCTGGCACCATACACAGTTATTACACTATCATTGACTATGTTCCCTCTGTTGTGCTTTACTTCCCCTTGACTATTTTGTAACCACCAACTTATACTTCTTAATACCTTCACCTTTTTCACCCAGTCCCCCAACTCTCCTCCCCTCTGGCATATGCAATACAATTTAAATACCACATGTTCTATTACATTTATGTTTTAAACTTGTCCAGAGAACTCTTTCTAAATACAACACTTGCTAGTACAGGAATTATATAATTTACCTCTGTGATTTCAGGAAATTCATCTTCACTATCAGTTAATTTACGACCTTTTTTTTCTGTTTCTTGGGCAATTGTGACAGGAATCTCCTTTTCAAGAGGTACACGAAGACGCAGTTCTACTGAATCATGTACTGAATGTTCCTGTTCCTGCAATCTCTGAAAGACAGAACTTCAGAATAAGTGGAATACAGAAATATGCTATCTCTCTATGTAAACTGATTAGTACTGGCTGAATAGACCAAGAACATTTAGCATTTATCACACAATGCTATGATACCATACTATTTTGCAATTACAACAGCTTTGACCCCTAAATACAGATAACCTTTCAAATTAGTGACAATTTGGATATGCTATTTACTTATAATCTTATCCCAATTCTTTTTACCTGGTTTTGAAGCTGTAATGCCAGTGCTTTTTGCTCTTCAATCTGGCGCCATCTTTCCCGTGCTCGAGAATCATAAACACTAGTTCTAGAAGTGAAAAGGAATGTGACACAAATGCAGACCACTCTCTTACTATCAGCCTATTGTTGATGTACAGTGAGCATTAAATATGAAACCCTCATACACACAGTCTAAAATCCTGACACTAACTTATCACTATAAGTGAAACCACATGGTGTTATTCAAATTTTCCTACTGTTTTTATTGAATAGTGAAAATTATTGGCTTGTTGCCAAATATGAACAGGTGGCTTTTGCAGATATTTGTAAGTGTGTAGTCTTTTTCTAAAAACATGCTTGTAAGCCCAGCCGGTGTTGCTCAGTGGTTGAGCATTGATCTATGAACCAGGAGGTCACAATTCGATTCCCGGTCAGGGCACATGCCTGGGTTGCGGACTTGATCCCCAGTAGGGGGTGTGTAGGAGACATCCAATCAATGATTCTCTCTCATTGATGTTTCTATCTCTCTCTCCCTCTCCCTTCCTCTCTGAAATCAATAAAAAATATATTTAAAAAAATAAACAATATGCTTCTAAGATTATGGAGAAAATTAAGCTTTATTTTGGAAACCCAAAAATGAGACTGAACCCCAAAGGAGAAAATAATACAAAATGTCATTGAGGTTTTAATTCAAATATTGTATTTGTGAACCAAAAGAAAAAAATATGGGTTTATTTATTTATTTATTTTAAGAAAATCAACACTAGGGGGTTTGGATAACTTAAAGTGAGTTCTTAAAACTGGAGACTAAAAGCTTTTAGTGATTTTGCAAACTCCAGAAATAGAAATTAGTCAATAAATTAGTTTTATCCATGTAAAAATAAGGGCATTTATTTTCCTTTCTATATAATTGCTAATTTTGAAATATTTTTCCAATTCAAGTTAACTTCAACTATTATCCTATATAATAAAAGGCAAATATACAAATATACAAATCAACAGAACCATGGAACCACCTGATGCAATGAGGCACACTGACCACCAGGGAGCATATGATCAACGCAGGAGCTGTCCCCTGGTGGTCAGTGCACTCCCACAGGGGGAGCACTGCTCAGCCAGAAGCCAGGCTCACAGCTGGCGAGCACAGCGGCGGTGGCAGGAGCCTCTCCTGTCTCCGCAGCATTGCTAAGGATGTCCGACTAACAGTTTAGGCCATCTGACTGACAGCTTAGGCCAGCTCCCCACAGGAAGCGGGCCTAAGCAGTCAGTCAGATATCCCCCGAGGGCTCCCAGACTGCACGGGAGCTGAAGGACGCCCCCCACGAGTGCATGAATTTCATGCACCAGGCCACAGTAAATTTAATAAACATTACATAGAAATGTCCTAACACCAACAGAATTAAAAACCCCCAAAACTTAAAAGTTGTTTAATAAATAGTTATATATAGGGAGTTTTTACCGATTAAACATAGGTAGGATGATTGGCTAATTGATTTCTTCTAACTAAAATTAGGAAGTGATGGAGAAGAAAAAAATGATACCAAAAATAATAACTTACAATTCTTTGATCCACAACTCTGCCTGGAAAAAAATAGGACTATGGGTGGGAAAAGAAAAATATGAGCAGGAGGCTTATGAGAAAATTCAAATATTGTCAACAGAAAAACCAATCATTTAAATAATTTACAAGAATGCTTTACAAGTACTGAATAAATACAGGGCTAAATTACATAAAATTGTAACTGGGAACTAAAGAAATATAAATGAGTCATTTGCATACATTTTCCATAATAAAATACACTTCACTGATTGCATGATAACTGATTCTTACAGAATGCATTCCTTGATTTCTGTCAAACTTCTGTATCCATAGCAACTTTGTGGTGGCAATTGACAAATGAGTATAGATAGGTCCAACATGCATGCTGGTTGATAGTTTCATTTATGTTAACAGGTAAGATGAAAGTAACAAGGACACTTCGTAACTTCAGTATTTGTCAATAATAATGTGAGCAGTTTCTTTGTTAAATCAGATAATAGTTTTTAAGTAATGGTAGAATTTATCTTCAATCTTTTGTACTATTCACAATGTAATCACTGCAAACATGATACACTTTTAATTGGCATTATTGACATTTTCTCCATCACTTTAAGGCTAGTCCATCAACAAAATAGTAAGTCAAGCACTGATTTGTGGTGTGGGAATTTTCCATGATGTAAATGCTCCCACTATGGCCCACTTCAACCTACCAAAATGACATCAATGAATGTGGAATTGGGAAGAGGTGTGCAATAGCACATCATTCTATAGTATTTCCACCATACAGATTCGATACATGCCAATAACCTTAGATGGATAATAGTAAAATGAGTAGGAAATGATGACTTTTGAATACTTATTACCTTTGTTTTCAATATAATTTATGTAACTGCAAGTTTATATAATTACATTTTGAAATAGTGGTTGTGTTTAATAACTAGCTCTCAAAATTCCTTGAAATTTAACAATTATCTCTTGTGAACTAGCTCCACAGCTATTCACTACTGAATAAGGGTGAGTTTTTGAACTTGCAGATAGGAGATTAGGTTATGTCCCTGCTTTTATTCATGAGCATCAATATGATATTCAGGCACATTTTCATAAAATGCAGCTCTTCTAAGCAAGAACATAGCAGTAACATGCCTGACAAATGTGTCCTGTCCCTCGGCATGAGTGAAGAGGAATTCCCAAACAGATGAGGTCAGATCCAATAGAATAGGTTTCCTTCATGTCTGAGAAACTTTATGACTCATGTTCTTGGTCCAGCTCTGGGTTTTGCATCAGTAGATATTCTGACATGCAAAGCTACCTCTCTTGTGCTGCATCCCACTGATTTCAGCAAAACGGCTTTTGTATTTGGACACTCTTGAAGCCAAGAAACCCTTCTGAATGTAATTGTCATGTTATTGTTTTTACTTTTCTATTTTCTTCTACACCTGTACTATAGTTAAAAAGATGACCCAAAGTTCAGCAGAGAAACTAAATTTAGCGTAGCTCCTTACTTGCATGAGACCAACATTATGTGAAAGAGTACATCACTTGTCAAGATAATACATTAAGCTAGAATGTTACTCTTCCCAAATGGTTCAGATTGACAGATTTATTAATAATTTAGTCAAATCTTATGGTTCTTAGACTTCTTGCCAGTCCACTTGAATCAAAATATATTCAACCAACAAACAAAACAGAAACAAACTCATAGATACAGAAAACAAACTGATGGTTGCCAGAAGGGAAGGTGGATTGAGAGGATGGGTGAAAGGTGAAAGGATTAAGAAGTACAAATTGGCAATTACAAAACAGGCATGGGCTGTAAAGTACAGCATAGGGAATATAGTCAATAATATTGTAATAACTATGTATGGTGTCAAGGGGGTACTAGACTTATTGGGGGAATCACTTCATAAGTTATATAAATGTCTAACCACTATGCTGTACACCTGAAGCTAATATAATATTAAATGTCAACCATAATTGGGGGGCAAAAAACAGCTTGACATTTTAAAAAAGTATATTTGGAACAACAAATTATATATATTTGGTTTTTTTCAACCAAATCAAAGTAGATACTGAAATTCCCCACCCACAGAACAATCCAAATGAAACAGCTAATGAGTCAATGAATAAACCAAAACAAAGAATCAGCAACACAACTCCATTCCAAACATGAGAGATCAAATCTATTTGATGCAGCTCTTGGTGACAACCTGAGTGAATAATGCTTAGCAGAGTCACAGCCATGTTAACTGTAAGTCCTAGGTCTTGCTCTTCTCAAACTTCATCTCCTTGCCAAGCCCTAACTGAAGGACCTCTCACAGACACAAATGGAAGAGTTAACTCTTTTCCAAAGAAAACTTTTAGATAGGTAGAACAAATAAACAAGCTGGGAGTTAAGAGACCTGGAACTCCTGGAGCTGTCCCTAATTACATTTTGTGATTTTGTGCAAGTCATTTCTATGAGACTTAGTTTTAGGACTTGTAAATTCTGGAGATTAGAGTCCTTTTCAGTTCTTAAATCTCTACGATCTGTCCTAGTTAAGGCAAGAGCATGGGCTCAGAGGGTATGCCTTGCTTCCTAGCCTAATTCTTGAGAATTAGTATTCCTAATCATCCTTAGCCTGGGGTTTGGCAATGAAAATGCTATTCTACTGCCTCTCCACCATCACTGAGGTTAATAAAGGTAGAACATAAGAGGAGGTGTACAGTGAACAACTGACATAACAACCAACACAGAAAGCCACAGAAATCTGTGGCAGCAGTGAGGGGCTACTTAGTTTATGATAGTAAAACGTGAGAACACATATATTGCACAATATAAAAAGTTGACAAGAATCACACAGAACTGCACAGTATTGGTTTATGCTATTCAAATTTGTTCACTTCCATATTAGAACATAAACTTGATGTGGACAAAATTTGTCTTTTGAATTTATTACTGTATCCTCTGCAACAAGAATAGTCCTGGGACACCGCAGGCACTCAGTATTTATTAAATAAATGAATAGTGTAAGACAAGCACTTCTCTTCAATGGATCGAGGTATCTCCTGGCTTAGGAAAGCAAAATTCAGGGGGAAAAGCAAAATCTCTTTGCTTTTCAAAGAGTAAATTATACATTGTTCCTCATATAATTGAAGCATACAATAATAATAACTACAACTATTTACTGAACATCTACTTAATGCTCTATATGTAAAACTCTGCTCTATTAATTAAAGCTCAATAATAGATAGTAAGGAATTATTACTCATACTATACAGAAAAGGAAATTGAGGTCCAGAAGGATAATTTGTCTTGGAAGAGCCAAGATTAGAAACTATGTCTGTCCAATTCCAAAGACTGTGTTCTTTCTATTATTGTAAAATGCCTTTTAATAAATCAAAACATTAAACCAAATTGAAGATGATAAATACCTGAGCTAGTCAAGAGAGCACTGCAGGCTTTCTGGGAAATTCATTTATTTAACAAAGGTTTATTTACTAAGTGCCCACATAATGTACTATGTTTGGCCCTGGGCGATAAATGCAAAGGTGTTAGTAACTAACAAGGTACAGGAATAGAAGTGCTCAAGGGATAGACTAATGCTACCTGGAGAAGTCAGAGAAAAAATAACACCCCCATTAGGTTTTAAAAAGCCAAGTAAGAGTTTAACAAGTGGACAAGGATAGAAAGGGAATTCCAGAGGCATGAAATGGCATGGCATATTCTGGGAAATTAGGGCAAATCTTCACTGCTGGTAGGGAATTAAGACTAAAAAGCCAATCAACCAAGCCTGTGAGAGTAACCTCCAATTTCCATGAATAGTATTGTCTAATTAGTTTTACCCAGTGTATCTTTCTCCCTCCATCTCATTCTTCAGTTATTACTAGGAGAAATCCTTCATAAAGGAAAGGCAGACTTAGTGAAGAGCCATTGCAGAACTGAAAGCACTCTTTACATGAGATCAACTTTTTCCCAAGAAAGAATTCCTACTTTTATGTAGTACCTGTGGAAAACTTTTATAAATGCTTTATCTGTAAGTTAATCTTCACAACAATTCAAGAGTAAAGTATTAATACTGGCATTTTATTGATAAGGAAACTAAAATTCAGAAGAATAACCTGTTAAAGTTACATGAAGCCTGGAAAAGACAAGCTCAGAATCCAGGTGTGATTCAAAAAAAAAAAAAATCCAAACTGTAAAATCTCCTTGAGAAACCATAACAAATAAATAATTTTTTTTTAAATATCTAAGTTTAGAACATAGAGGAGAACTGCACAGAAGTAGGGGGGCTGAGATGAGAAAAGCATTTTATTATCCCTAACCTTCTCAATAGAAAACTGATACTATTACCACACTAGCAATTAAATTGCTAATGCCATATATGGCAAGGACATAGCAATCTAAATAGTAACCTATCGGATTACAGAGGAAGAAGTACTCAATATCTCCCTGAGGAGTCAAGTTTCATATAGAAGATCAAATCTGAATTGAGACGTAAGAGATAAGAAAGCACCACTGCCAGACAGACAAGTTGAGGTAGGAAGGACATAACAGCAGAAAGAATACTGAATATGAAGGTAAGAAAACAGGCATCATATTATAGTTCAGCATATAATAAACACATGAAAGAGTCCCATATTTCCTTATGGCTTCTTTTCTCACCTCCATCATGTCCCTTGGCTGTCACCTTGCCAAGACCATTCTATATAACGCCCCTCTCTCTATCCCCTCCCGCCAGGGTATATAATTGCCTGCTTTATTTTTCTTTCATAGCATTTATCATTACCAGACATGTATTTTTATTTATTTGTTCACTATTTGTCCCCCACTCCTCCCCTTACACTATCTACAGCTAGAATGCAAGCTCCATTTTTCTTATTAAATGCAAATTTTATTAGTGTACTTTAAAGCAGATATACTGGGTAAACTACATAATATAGTCACCATAATACTATCACTTTGAATTAGTATTACAGATACTTCTAAGTACTTAATTATTTTCAAAATATATTCCAATATTTAAATTATGTTCAGTTAAGTGTACTTGAAGGTTTGCAGCATTCTGCATTATTTATATTAGAGAAAAAGCAGCCTAAATCAACCTGCTCTGGCATTCCATAATTTGTGTTTGTACATCTCTAACATAAATTTATACATAGCTATCAAATGGCTACTCTGGCTATGCTATAATTTAAAAATTTTATCTGAATTTGCACCACAAAAAGTTTATTGGTTTCTTTATACTAGGAAGTGTCTTATCTGATTATTCATGTTCAGTATTTGTAGACCACTTACTAGAGCTGCACACTTTTTAATTAAATATAAGTGTGTAGATTTCAAGTCCCCCATCCTACCCCAGTTCACTCTACCCCTGCTGCATTCCTGGAAATACTCTAGATTTGAATGAATCCAATTCTCTAGAAGCTAAAGGGTAAAGAGCAAGGGAAATTGGATCAACTTAAAACAATACCATGAATGTCAACTGCTTGAGAGAAGAGATTTCATTTTGTTCACTGCTGTTATCCTGTGTCTGTACAAGCAACTGGCACACAGTAGGCTATTAATAAGTAATTGTTAAAGGAAAGAATGTGTGATTGGAAGCGGGGTTTATGAAAAAAGTGCTTTGATTCCCACACTAAAAAGTCTGCGCTTGCTTCTCTGTCTGATAAACGACCCTTGAGGGAGTTTAGTGAATGACCAGCTATGCCTTTTAGATCACTCTGGTTGAAGAATGAAAAAGGACTAAAGAACAATTCAAAGAATGGACTAGAAAACATGGGGGAAGATGGAATGAAGAACAAAATAGAAGCTGGAGAAAGGAAGACTACTTACAAAGTCATTGAAATAATTCAAACAACACATGACAGAGGTCAATACTGCGGTGATTTAGAGTCAATTTTAGTTTTATATTATGTAACGCATAGAAAAGAAACTAATTAAAGCGGGGATTATGTTAAAAATGTGCTTTTTCCAAAGTTTACCTGGGAGCTGGAGTCTGGGAATCTCGCACTTTGAGTAAAATCACAGAGTCTGATCCTAAACAAGAAACACAAGAGCATATTATTACTGATAAAACTGCAGTTATACATCCTAGATGTCTGTGTCTTAAGTTCCCATACTTTGTTACAATCTATTTTCATAAAAAAAAACACAGCATAAAAATAAAGATAAGATGGGAGAGAGAGAGACTGAGCCAAGAATAGGGCTTAGTGAAGAGCTTACCCCACAAATATAGTAGTTACTCTGAAATACAAGTATACACTGAGTGGCCAGATTATTATGACCACCCCATCAGTACTTCGTTGGGCCACCTTTTGCCTTCAACACTGTGGCGATTCTTCTTGGCATTGACTCCATGAGATGTTGAAAGGTGATGCGAGGAACCTGACACCTGCCTGATGAATAGCACTGTCCAGTTCTGTGAGATTTGATGGTTGTGGTACCAGCT